GCAACAGGAGCAGTGTCTATGGGACTTGACAACAGATTCCCTCTCACTCACAGCACCCCAATTTTGAGTGCACAATTTACATCTCAATCAGTCAGCCACCAACCTGTTTGAGCAGAGGAGTCTCTCTCCCTAAGCAGTACATAGTCAGAGGGTGAAACAGCCCTCCCAGACCTAGCTTGATGGTCTTCAGAATACATTGCTAATTTCTTTGTTGAGGTCCTAAGCTCCTACACAAGGACACAGGTCTACAGGGGCTACCTTAACACGTATTAAATGCCACTGACACTTAAGTAAGAGCTTTCTGTGGTAGTGTAGAGCCAGCCAGCCTGTTCCTATACTTTGGAAATATTTTTATGATGTAAAGCATAGATGAGGTTTTATTTTTTGATCAATACAATGCCAAAGAGAGCCCTTTGTGCCAGACAGTCAATGTAACCAAACACAAATTTCTAAAGTCAAAACACTAAGTCAGTTCTACACCTTGTCTATGAGAAATTCTTTTTTATATTTTTTAGTAAACCTTTTTTTATGAGTACTACAAAGTTTCTTAACCTGACCACTGCTCCAACATGCAACAGCCAAAACTACATTGCTGTAACAATCTCCTATGTTCCTTTATCTCTCCATCCTGATTTCTTATTTCTGCTGATCCTCGGGCCACCTTTCACACCCTCCTGACAATAATTACTGTGGTGAATTTGCCTCACTCAGCCAGTGTCTCCTTGATATTTCCAACCAATTCAGCCCACATCCCTGTTCATGGAGCATTACTGACCCTATTTCTGACCCTGTTGGAAGGAAGCTGGGGGAGGGCTTGTGAGCCAGTCTTTATAAAATCTACAGTGGTGTAGGTCTTCACAGTCACTCAGCCCTCATCACTGACCCATCCTGACCAGCTACCAGTCCTGGAAGCTCATTGTATATTAAGTGCCCTGTACAGATACACCATTTTTTAACCTTTAGGCAGAAATGTCTAACTATGCATTTCTCAGAACGTATCCCCATTGTTCAGTGACATATGACTACAGTGTCAAATCACCAATATTTTCAACATACTTTCCTTTCACTTCCAAGGGTCTATATTATTGCCTTAAACAAACAAACAAAAAATACTATGATAATTTTTGTTTGGTTTAGTGAATCCAGAAAGTTTACTTTTATTGTATTTATTGTCACTGAGACATATACTATCTCAATCAATTAATCATTTAAATTCCAAGTTTTCCACAATATGACTTGGATCATAGTCTTATGTTCCAGCACATCCCTCCATTGCACCACACAAATAATTCTCAACATCTTTGAAACTTAATGTACACATTAAAAAATCCTGTGTTTTTCTTCAAGCCATTCACTTTGCCAAAAAGGGGATTTCTATCCTCTTTTCCAGCCCACATGCTTTCACAGTTTACTGGAAAGAGCTGACATGTTACATCCTTCTACCAGTTTTCCCTGAGCAGAATTAATCCCTGCCTTTACTATTCTTTCACAAAATATTATTCAAAACTACCTGAAGACACTTTCTTTGGGCTTATGATTGTGTAGAATCAACTTTGCACACAAGACTCTTAGGATGCAAGAACACTATTTTCAGCACTCTAAAAAGGTACTTGGGGCACAAAGAGAATAAAACAGACATTTGTTAAACCGAATTCTGGACACTGATTAAAATAAAGTATATTTTCAAAGTTGGCACAAATAAGTTTTCAAGTAAGCATTTCAGGAAATAAAGTTATTTTCCTTTTCTGTTTGCAAGCCTAAAACTTCAAGACTACTCATCTTTGCTAACTTAAGGTGCTCATCTCCTATTCAAATAACCATTAAGGGTTTTGTTCACAAGTACATAGTGAATGCCTACTCTTGTAACTATTAGCATGACACTACTGGTGAAATGGCTATTTTTAATTTAAAAACATGAAATTATTATTAACTCACTTCTGTTTTATATAGTACATTATATAATTTCAAAACATGTTAGTTCAATTCTTTCTAAAATGAAAATTTCATCAGTTAAAAAGTTCCTAGGAAATATTTTACTCAGAGAGATACCAAATATATTTTATATCATGAAATTGACAAATAAATACATCATACAGTTGTCTTTTCTACCCATGAAACATTTGTAAAAACAACTGAATTAGTGTCTCTGAAAAAAGGGTAACTTTAGTTAGAATGGCCATTCAAATTAGCATGGCTCAATAAGCCTGAGAACCTGAAAAAATATACAATTTTAAATGGATGTATATCTATTGCATTACAACTTTAATATACATAAATAAATGCTGGTTTAAATGTTATAAACTTTTCAACAGTTTTCATAGATTTTAATTTTTTAATCAGTATCAGTAATTTCTATATTTGTATTTAGCAGCTTCTTTTTTAGTTCTTAATCATTACTACTTACATCATTTTTTTAACCTATAAATAGCATTAAGTAAAACTCCATTAATGTCAGTAATCTATGCTCTTCATTAAAAGAAAAAAATAGGTTGTATATTTCCTTTAAAACTTATGTGATCTATTTTAAAATATGTTCGTGTGTTCCCATTTTCAAGTATTCCTACTGCTGATGCTGGCCATTTATGCATTGTTATTTTGAGGACCATCTAAAAGTAATACAGCTTAATCCAACATTGGCATTCTGAGGTAATTGAGTATTCAGTTTACTTTTCAACATCTAAATCTATGCGCCTTTTCCCTCTATAGTCTACATATTGGCCTTTATCTTTACATACTAGAATCTTAGAAGAAATAAAAAGCACCCAGCTGTGAAATGATCACCCATAAGCATTAAGATTAGGATATGTTTGGCTTAGAATTTTGACTGTACTACATCCTGGCACTGTGGCCCTGTAAAAGTTATTTAATGTATCTGAGTCTTTATTTCCACATCTTTCAACAGGGGGAAAATTGTACTTGATTTATATGACTGATGTGACTAACGTGCTTTGAACAAACCATAGCATATGGTGAATAAATTTTAACCATCTTTTTCCTTTTCCTCTTTATTCTATCATATTTCTTTTCTACTGTATTCTCCTTCCCCTCTTCTTTCTCTCTTTCATCTTGCTAATCCTTGGCTGGTGTTCAAAATGCGCATCTCAGTCTAGCAGTTTATTTATCAAGAGGAGAAAAGTAACCTATATCAATTACATAAATATCACAGATAAGTAATTGGCCTTTCATGAAGTTTCCAATGTTCCTCTCTGTCAGCACTGCCATGATGAAGACCTAGGCTCCAGAGTCAGAAATAGCTCATTTTGAACTAGAGGCCATTGCTCACTGTAGAGCCATTGTGAAAATAAAAGGAAAAAATCTTAGTTGAGTGTCTGGCAAATAGAAAACTATGAAGAAAGACTCACTTTTTAGACACTTCTGCCCTTTCTCTCTGTAACTAATAAACTAGAAATAGTAAAAAATTCCCCATTTTGTAATAGCTATGATGAAATCAACACAAGAATGACAGCAGTAACTCTGTAATCCTTGTGTGTCCTGGATACCAGTTTACTCAGAAATGCAGCCTGATTGAGCCAGATGCAATCAGAGCAGGGGTATAATTCCTGTTCCTCCCATGATTCTTTGGTGTGACTATAGGAAAACAATGATAATAGGATCTCCAATATTTTTGTCTCTTCTTTTCAGAAAATAAAAAAGTATGGCTTATAATTTATTTGTAAGTTCTTATAAGTTACTCTGTATAGAGCTTATACAGAGATGTGTATTATCTCTGTATTTTCTCTAGGAAAAACAGTTTCACTTACTGCTTGATAACTGTGATAAATGTGATAAACTTGATACAAGCAACAAATATTGATGTTTATTTTAATGGAAAGAAAACAATGAAGTTAAAGCATAATCTTAATTTAAAATATATATTTCTCATAAATGATTTCATTAAGAGTTCTCTTATAATAAAAAGAAATTTTCAGCTAAAAACAAAACCAGTCTATGAAGCAAACAAAATTTAAAAAATCCTGTTAACAAAACAGGAAGATTGAACTCTTTATAGGAATTTTTAGATAGGAAAATAGACATATAATGAATAATTATTGAGTAATTGTTGATATAAAAGTCAAATTCAAACAGCTACACTGGAATGATTCTAAAAAATGAAACCTGTTGAATCAATTTCTTCCTTCAGATTTCAATTTGTAGATATAATGGAAGCAGTGTAAAAATATCAAGAATGTGATAAGTGAGAAAAACATAATTTCTAAGAAAAAAAAGAAAGCTAACCCAACTATATCTAAAAACAGTTGACTACCTTCATTATTCAAGATGTCATTTAAATAGACAAAAAACAAAGTAAAACACTTTACAAAATACCCTTTTACTTTAGGTTGAAATAAAAAGTAGCAACATATTACAATATGAAAATAATGCAAGATACATTGAAACATAAAATGTCAAGTATGTATAATAATAGCTAAAATAATGTCAGTACCTGAAAAACTGTACTTTATAGATTATATATACTTATAAGCCTTTAAAAGCAACTACTCCCAGATAAAAAAATCTAACAATAATGTATCTTTTTGCCAACTTCAAAAAACACATACTGCCTTAGAAGACTTATAGTTTCCAATAAAAAACAAATGGTTAATATTATGACTGTGAAATCCACTCATCATAATCTAAAATTTGTTTATGCATAAATACTCACTGAGGCAACAAATTTAATAACATATGCACAGACCTGTGTCTTAAACATATCCATAGAAATTTATTTCTAAAGAAAATATTTATATGAGATATTCTAACATTACTCTGTATAAACACTGTACTAAATAACAGTTACTAATTTAGAAGAAAGTAAAGATGTTTTACATATTATTTCCATTGATTAACACTTCTAATTGTAATTTAATATTTTCTATGGGATTTAAGTTATATGCTAAAATGCATACTACATAGAGCCAATAATCCACCATTCCATCATAGTATAACAAATCCTAAACACCTAACAAGGATGGCAATTTTAAAAAGATATTCAAACTTACCCCATTTAATGGATATGTTTTCCATCCTAGCTCTCCCAGCACAGTTGTTGTATCAAGCAACACAACTGGAATTACATAAATAAAAAACTTGCATAAATATCTCAATTGATGAAAAAGTATTATCAGTCATTTAATCATTAATGTCAACTACCCTATTATTCATTATTAGCTTTAATAATTTGCATTACTTTAAATTATTTGGATATATGAAATATTAATACAGGGGTGGACAAAAATTGGTTTATAGTAGGTTTATTTGCTATACTTAAGGAAGTATAGCAAATAAACTACAAGAATATGTAAATAGCCCTGATTGGTGTGGCTCAATGGATTGAGTGTTGGCCTGCAAACCACGGGGTCAGTGGTTACATCCCCAGTCAGGGCACATGCCTGGGTTATGGGCCAGGTCCCCAGTAGGGGGCACATGAGAAGCAACCATACATTGATGTTTTTCTCCCTCTCTTTCACCTTCTCTTCCCCTCTCTCAAAAGTAAATAAATAAAATCTTAAAAAAAGAATGTGTAAATAATGAAAGCCTGCAATTTGAAAACTTATGAGACTGTACCTAAGTGCACTGTGCCATTCTTTTGAGTTAATAAAGCTATTGTAATAATCATAACCTGCTCTTTTTCCATATCAACTGTAAACCTATTTTGCCAATCCCTGTATATGATATGTAATGATAAAATGCATGTGGCAGTTGTAAGTTAATTATAAAATATGTGTTTAATATTAAATGAAACATAATTGAACAACAAAGTCATTTTAATATGTATCTTCTAAAATTGATACAATAACCATCTTTGTTTCCCTGCCCTCCTTTTCATATATGGTCTGTTTCTACCACACATTAAAGAAAGAAAAACTGCATCAAAGCAGGGTTCTCTGTTTTTTTTCTGTGTAATTAACTGTGCTTATATATTATTGGCAAACAACTCATTATGAATAAATCTGGAATCTTTAAAACATAGATGACATTGTTATTATATATGCCAGGTAGTATACTTACTACTAAAGGAGGCAAAAACAAAAATAAAAAACACACGTCATTTTTTTGACCAAAAGTGACTCATAATCTGGTGGAAAAGGCAGACATGTAAGCAAACAATTAGAACATATTCTGTTAAATTAAAAAATAAAAGACTATATAATAGCCTCTCAGTTAAGTTAGGCTAAGGATAGCAGGGCCTGTCTGGGAGGATTTCACAAAGGGGTTTCTATTTGAGCAGAGGGGACTTCATTAGATGTGACAAGAATCCAATATTTGTTTTCTTTTAGAATATCTTCTGCAAAGTAGCTAAGCTATAACTTAGTCTCAGTTGCTAGAGTGGAGACTTATTTTGGGGAAGTAGAAGGGTACAAATGAGGATGGAAAGCAGCATAGATCAATTTGGAAGGATATTTGTGGTGTTTACAGCAGGTAAATGCTTAGGGCCCATGATTTAGCAGATTTTTATTTTTAAGTCTTACTACTTCCAAGTCCCCCACATACAAGTAGGCCACAGACCATACTTTGAGAAACAATGCTTTGTTAGCTTTATCTAGTTGAGAAAGTGTGGTTTTTTATTTGTAGTTTAAAAAATGCCTTCAGGAGTATGTTACCTGGCATGTGCTGCTTAGTGTGTACTGTAAAGAATCTATAAGTTTTCCTATTTGAATCACTGTGATACATTTGACTGATTTTTAAATATAAAACTATTTTTAAATTTCTAGGATAAATGCTAATCAGTAACAACATTCTTTCAGTACTGTTAAAATCTATTCATTAACATGTATAGAAAATATTACATTGGACCCACATGCTCTCATCACTCAGTTTTAATAATTACCAACATATGGACAATCTTATGTTTATCTATTCTCCTACTGTAAGATTTCTTTGAAGAAAACTACAGTAATCATATAATTTCATCTGTAAAAATTACAGTATGTATTTCTACCATAAATATTTATTTTACTATGACTATAATATCTTAATCCATTGCTATAAATAGTAATTCCTTAATGTCTAATATATGCCTAATATATTGACTAAGTAATATATTGCCTAATAATATGTCTAATATATGCCTAAGTAATGCCTAATGTCTAATCAAATATCTAGTCAGTGTTTAATATTTCTATTGTCCAAATTTAATTTAACAGAAAATCAGTATCTAATAAATACTATACATTACAGTGAGTGAACATTCTTTTTAAGTGTTTTTAATCAATAGCTTCTCTTATTATCTTTTGTCAGCTTTACTGAGGCATGATATACTTAAAATTCACCCATTTTAAATGTATATTTTTCTATGAATTGTGACAAACCCCTATATTCATGTAACCAACTCTATAATCAAGCTACAGGATATTTCCATCACCCTTAAAATATCCCTTGTGATCTTTTATAGTGAATCCCTTCTCCACCAGCCCATGGCAACCACTTATCTAATTTCTGTCCCAATGGTCTGCCTTTCCCAAAATGTCAAATGAATGAAATCATATACTATATAGCATTTTGAGCTTAGTTGCTTTCACATTAGCATAAGGTATTTGAGATTCATCTATGTTGTTGTATGTATCAATAGTAAGTTCCTTTTTATTGCTGAAAAGTATTCTATGTTATGGAACTCCCTAGTTGATAGACATATAGGCTATTTTCAATTGGGGCATTATAAATAGCACTATAACATTTCATTTACAGAATCTGATAGGAACCTATGCTTTCATTTCTCCATGATAAGTAGAAATTACTGGGTTATACAAGGAATGCTTATATTTTTTCCTAAGCATGAGATAGCATTGAAAAGTGTTTCTACATTCCCTGTGTTTTCTTTAAATTAATAGATATATTTAGTGGCTTGATCTGATTCAGGTTCCATTTATTTTTATATTTCATAAGATTACTTCATTAGTGGTGTTTAATAGTCCTTATACCAGAAAACAGGGAAGATATTAATGTTCACTTGGATCATGTAAAATGGACTGGGGAACCAACATGTATGCATAGGCTTCAACTTGCCAAAAATAATTTGATCAGCCCTGGCTAGTGTAGCTCAGTGGATTGAGTGTGGACTGTGAACCAAAGGGTCACCAGTTCAATTCTCAGTCAGGGCACATGCCTGGGTTGCAGGCCAGGTCCCTAGTGGGAGGCATGTGAGAGACAACCACACATTGATGTTTCTCTCCCTCTTTTTCTCCTTCCCTCCCCCCTTCTCTAAAAATAAATGGATAAATTCTTTAAAAATATAATTTGATCATATACAAGGTAATGACTGTAAGGGACTGAAACATTTCAAATATACTTAAATGCATGCATTCATGATCAAATACACCAATGGATAACTTTTGCAGCATGCTTGGAAACTATTATTTTAAAAACTGGTAAATAATCTGAATAGAATTTAAAAAAGATTTTTCTTTTTGTATGTGAACTTCTTCTAAATACGGAAATAGTTAATGAAGGGACGTTTCTGCTATTGAAATATTTCAGGTAATAAACGAAGAAGGAATGGCCAGATTAGCCTACACCATTTTCTACTCCTTATAAATTAATATATCTAGGCTGCTAACCTTCATCACATAATGATAATAGCAGACATAAGGGGCTAAAACTTTTTAAAGGCTTTCTTTATAGATTCATCTACTTCATATCAATATATAATGCTAAAAAGCTTCAAAGTAACAGACAGTACAGTAAGGGTATATATATATATATACATATATCACATATTCACACATGTACACATTATAGTCTATCCAGAAAAAGTTCAGCTACTGTTACTATAATGAGAACAATATGCATGACATCCATGTAACCTGGCAGCCAAGAAGAGTGAACTGGAATGTATATGCATGAACATTGATGACTTCACTGTAGTAATCAGTAGAGGGTAGACACCATTGAGTAGCATGTGTACTGTGTGGCCAATACATTCAAAATGACTGAGCAGGTAGAGCAATGAATCTGTATCAAATTTTTCATTAAGCTTGAACATTTTCCATGGAAACTATTAGGATTATTCAGAAGGCTTTCAGGGATGAGGCAATTAGTACAGCGCAGATGAAGTGTGGCACAAATGCTTCAAAGATGGTTGAGAACTGTTGAAAGTGATCTACATTCTGGAAGGCCCGAAGCAAGCAGAACACCTGAAAATGTTGAATGTGTACGGGCTGCAATAACAAAGATTGGTGACTGACTAGTGCAAGAACTAGAAGCTAATCTGGGGATTCCAAAAATTAATGTGTTTGAGATTTTGATGCAGGATCTTGGCATGAAATGTGTGGTGGCAAAATTCATTCCACAGCTTCTGCTGCCAGAACAGAATGAACATCACGCTGCAGTTGCTGATGATGCTGGGAGAACTCTGTAAGGTCCCAAGGGTCCTACTTTGAAGGGGACTGATGCATCCTTGTCCTATATACCATGTTTCCTGTATCTTGTATCTTCTTCAAGAAATGTCTCTATTGTTCATATTCTATGACTGGATACTTTCTGGACAGACCTTGTACACACATACAAATAGAAAAGTATACAAAAATACACACAAGTACACAAAATGGTATTTGCTGGCATTTGTGTTCATTCACTGTTATTGAACAGTCTGAAATATTGGAGAAAAAAGCTGAAGATATCATAATAAACATTCAAAACTGTAAGCTTATCTAATTATCACGAGTTATTTTTACATTTGGTATTTACTATTGAAAAGAATTCAGAAGAATGTAATACCATTATCTACTTTGGAGGGGCTCAGTAGCTCAGTGTTACTCATCTAGCACATTTATGTATTTGAAGTAAATCATTATTTCCATAGCCCACTGGTAAAATAATGATACTAATTCATAATCAATATAGGAAGAACCTTTTGTATTTTTTCTTCAATAATATTGACATTATCCTATATGATTTTTTAATACTCACAGATGAGAAGATAAGAGAACTAAGTCTCAGGAGAGATTATTTTTTTTTTTTCCCAAAGACCACTAAGTAATAGATTTGATGGGGAACATTTGTAACAGTGTCAACAATAAATCTTTTTTAAAAAGTAATAAAACTTAAAACTTTTTAAAGAGTGTTGTT